AATCTTGCTTAGTATCTCTTTTTTATTCACTAGCAGACCCCATATTCTTTCCATATACTATGACCCTTTAAGGGAACATGCCATGTAAAAAAAAATGGTGCTATTTGAGGGGTAGAATACCCCTTTTTTCTCTGAACTCAATTATTTTGCCAAGTTTGACAACATCCTAGTTTTAAACCCCCTAGGGTTCATGATTCCTAGAAAGGTACACACAGAAGGCAAGCCAATCCAAAGAATGGTGCAAAAAGAAAATAAAGGCATTAAGTAGGAATTTACTTTTTAAAGTTAATAATTTTACACATTCAATGTCAAGAAGAAGTCTGTAATGTTCCAGTAAAATATTGTCTCCCCTAATATTGCACCTAGAAACGAAATAATTGGATTTGTCTTGTTGTAAGTTTTCATTCAAAAATTGCATCCTTAAATACATGGTCTTATCTAGGGATTCTGGAGGGTGGGGGTCAAAATACAATGAGCCCTTCACACAAATGCAATCACAAGGAGGAAATCCTGTAATTCACAGATGCCCAGATCCCAAAAGAGACGGACCCTCCAAGATCTCTAAAACCTTAAGAAGTCAAGGAAACAGTAGCACACATAGGATCCAAGGTCTTGGTCTTTTATTTCTACACCATTTAATATATTCTTCCAAACTCTTACAAACACTTCACAAATACTAAGCCCAAAGAAATGAAGAGTAGTATGTAACTTAAAGTGAAAGGCTCCCATATCGAGTATCTACTTAGCATCCCTTCTAAATCGGGAGTGTTTTAAAAGTTTGAAAAAGAAGAAAAAGGGGAAGGAAAGTTAAAACACATATTACTGTTAAAATTTGTAGTATCCCTAATGATCACCTTAAGATACAAGATGCAACTTGTTCTCATAGCTCTAATCAATTAAAACTACTTGGCAGAAGTTCTGACTTGTTTCTACCAGCTCATTATTTAAGGTATCTTAAATAATTAAAGTATTTAAGGTATCTTAAATAATTAAGGTATCTTATTATTTAAGATACCTTATTATCTTAAATAATAAGACACCTGGATGTCAAAATGGATGCAAAGACAGAGGAACAATGATAGGTTTCTATCAATTACTATAAAGAAAGAACCTTATAAGCTATAAGCAGTGCAGCCATGGTGCAGTCCGGTGCAAAAGCAAGGGAAGAGTTTGAGCCACAGAAAACAGCGACCTTCTGTATTTTTCACTATTATGACAGCACATAAAGGACCATGCAAAGGCATGTAGAAAAAGAAAAAGGAGGAAAACCTTACAGCTTTCTACACATTTCCTTCATTAGGAGTCCTTATTCCTTAGGAATGTCTTACAGAGTTTAACAAAGACCAACAGTGGAGTTACTCAGAGACAGATTTTGACTCTAACAAAAAGAAAACTGACTACTCTAGCCAACTCTGCAGAGCATCTGTTCAATATCTCTCCCAAACCCCTCGAAACTTCCTTATGAAGAAGGCCTATCACTATAGAATCTGGATATTCTAGAGATATTCTTTCCCACAATTCCATGAAACTAAGGATTGGGCATGTGATATGATTCTAGCCAATGAGAGGCAAAGGCAGGTCCACAAAGGGGCTTTTGGGGCTGGATCTTCACTCTGATATGTGGGAAAGAAAGGCCATTCTGTTTGTCAGCCTTTGGACACAACTGTGTGAGGTTATGATGCTTGGGTCATCATAACAATCTTGAAACTCTGAGGGAAAGCTAAGTGATTCAGAGACACTATTAGGTTGGTGCAAAAGTAATTGCTGTTGGTGCAAAAGTAATTACTGTTTTTGGCATTTTTTTAATGGCAAAACCAGCAATTATTTTGCACCAATGTAATAAATTAACCAAAACCCATGACAGCCTACCTCTGGACTTCTCGGATGTGAGGTACTGAAATGCCCTTGCTGTTTAAGTCACTTTTAGGCAGGCATTCTGTTCCTTGCAGCTGAAAGCATCTTAGCTGATATGGCTATTTCTGGTAATAGCGAGAAAATACCAGTTCAAACAAAGACTGTTCCTCCTGTGTGGTAGATATTTTATCAAGGAGATTAAAGCATCATGTCCAAGATGACTTTTAAAGTCTTTTCCAAATCAATGATTTTATCATTCTAAATGTGGGGCATGTGGAAATGGGTATGTAAGTAGAAATTTAAAAATGCATCCACATACATTATCCTGTAGAAAACTTAATGTGTACCATATTAAAAATTTATACACCTTTGTAAAAAGTTAACATGCTATGCCAGGTCTATAAGAGTTCTATGTAGGTGAGCAGACAAATAATATACATTCATATAGTTGAATGCCATGTAGCTTTAAAAAAAAAGTTAATCAATGTAACAATTTAGAAAGACCTCCAAGATATATTGTTAAGTGTGTTTAAAAAAAAAAAAAAGGGCTGCATGTGGTGGCTCACACCTGTAATCCCAGCACTTTGGGAGGCCAAGGCAGGCAGATGGCTTGAAATCAGGAGATCAAGACCAGCCTGACCAACATGATAAAACCCCATCTCTACCAAAAATACAAAAATTAGCCAGGTGTTGTGGTAGGCACCTGTGAACCCAGCTACTAGGGAGGCTGAGGCAGGATAATCGTTTGAGCCAGGGAGGCAGAGGCTGCAGTGATCCACGAATACTCCACTATACTCCAGCCTAGACAACACAGCAAGACTCCATTTCAAAAAAAAAAAAA